AAGAACTTAGCCAATTTGAAGCTCAAGACTCATCCTCCATCTTCATCTCTCTAGGATTCCACAAAGAATCTTAGCCAATCTTCATCTTCAAGAACCCTAGTGATTGCTTGTGAAGGCCAAACTCCATAGCTCTTGAATGATGAAAATGAGCTTCAATCCTTGTGAAAATGGAAGGGATGGAACGAAAATGAAGAGAGGAGAAGAATGGTATGAGTTTTGTGGAGGTTTGGTGGCTGAAAATGGAGGTTAGGGTGCTGGAAAATGAAGAACAAAAGAGAGAAAATGAAGAACACTATGAACAAGAGAGAGAGAATGTGGAAGATGAATGAGATATGTGTTGGATCCCATTTGAAGCTTAAAATGGCGTGCTCCTTGGTGTCTCCCATCAGCTGAAGCTTAATTAAAATAAGGAAAAAGAAATTAAAATGTAAATGGGAGCCTTGTCACACTTGCAAGGTGGCAACTTCCTATTGGTTTGTAGATGATTCCAATGTGTGCCTAATTTCCCATGTGTCATCCACATCATTTTAGCTGATTTAACCTCTCAAAATAATCATAATTCACGTGCAAACCATCAGCCATTGACCTCAAGGAGTGTTGACCTCAATTGCCCAATTGATGCACAAGTCATATGCCACCTATGTCACATAAATCACATAATTCAATTAAATAGCATATGATATAATAAAATCTAATTCATGTCCAGAATTAAATTCATATTTAGAAGGGAGAATTTATTAAATTAACCAAGTTTCAGGCTGCACAAAATTATATAAAAATTTTCACACAAAGGCAAACCAAAAACTAGGACAAACTAAGACACTTAAGAAAGTGTTGACTTTTTTATTTAATTACTCCCAAACTAAAATGAATTTTAAAAATATAATTTCACCATTCATCAACTGGACATAAAATGCACTTTGTCAATTTTTCTTGTACATTTTCTCAAAAGTTCATTTTTTGGACCAAAATGCCCCTAGTGCACTGATCTTAGAAACTTAGGCAAAGTTCCAAATCTAATGCAATGTGTGCACTTGAAGGTGATAAATAATTAATAAAATGGTCCTAATTGACAAATAAAAGTGGGTAACAAATGTGTTCTATCAATATTGTAAAAAATATGCATGGGAAAATGCAATATGATGGGGGGAGTTATAATGGAAGAATGATTAGAGAAGGAATGTCTCTTGAAGGACTTGTTAGGTTGATTTCATCATGTTTGAATTGTGATTTAAATGGAATAGAGTTGAAGTACATAATAAAGTTTGATTGTAATGCTCTTTTAGACCTTACAGATGATGAAGGGATAAATCAATTAATGAAATTGAATGATAATTTTACTCATATGTACATCATTAGGAAGATACAGCAAAGTATAGAAGCAACAAGAGATTCAGTTGATGGGTAAGTTTTTTTAATAGTTGCATGATTAATATTATGCTAATATGAATATGAATAGTAGGAATAAACATGATTTGAATGGACATGCAGAGCAGGATGTTCAATTGGGAATTCACATGCTACACAAGATCTTGAAGTTCTACTATGTGCAATACAAAGTATCCCAACACTAATGCCTGAGCTAAATGCAACAAAGTAGAAGGAGAAAATATATAATGGCACTATACATCTTGTTGAGACCTATGACATGCCAAAGCCAAATGCGTTGACAGTGTCTAAGCTCATGAACCAAGCCTTTTTGCTGCCTCCTAGAACATCTCGACCAGCTGGCAGACCTCGTCGTGTGAGAATCAAGGTAAGCTTGAGAAAATTGACACAGAAAGCTGAGAAATATCCATATTTCAAAAAATAAATCAGTGTATCTAATCATTTATGTTAGGTATGATACAATACTTCAAGCTAGCTTCAAACACTATATGTCTTAAATTAATGTGCTATCTACATCATGTTATGCTTCAAACTCATACCTTATGTATTAAAAATTAAAAGCAAAGGTAACTAATCTACATAGTTTCATTCTGGGGCTATAAACGAAGTCACAAAGAACTTGGCAATGGAATGGGCAAAAGATAACATTCAGTAGCACCAGGACCTATGATGACTTCAATTTTGAAATCTAACATGGTATAAATATGTGCCTAATTACTTTCATCTCCTTGATGTTTTTTATATTCTACAGCTCTCTTGAAATTATTCATATAGGAAATACAAGATACACTTACCAAGAACCCGACTGCTTGTCTTATGTACTTCAGCTCATCCCAATATGATCCATTGTATTGCAAAATCCAAGGCAATTACTTGGAAATCGGAGCCATGAGCCACCATGGAGATTCATAAACTAATTCAAAAGCAACACTTAACAACTATAGGGTATCACATCACTTTGTAATAGCCTAACTAAATAATAAAAAACAAGACCTAATAGCATAAGTAAGCAGCAAAGAATAGTATTACGTATGCTATTCATTGTACAAATCTACATACTGTCATGTGTTTAGCATATCAATGTAAAACACATCAAATTGCATAACAAGTGGAGATGAAGAGCACAAGTCTAGTCAGCACAAAATTCAACTGTTGGCAAAAATACTGGTGATGTTAATAAAGGTTTGAGGTAACATTAGCAAAATGCAAGGGAGAGGTGATAGTGGTGGTGGCGGCAGCCGTGATAGTGGTTTACTTGTAAGTATGGTGTTTGTGGCTGCAACAACAGTGGTAGACAAAAAAAATGGCGATGAAAGCAAAGATGGTATCAACAATGACAGTTGGTGATTATGAAAACAGAGTATAATGATATATTAACAAATGGAAACAAAAATTTAGTTTTTATATTGAAAACTTTATATAGTTCTTATCAGGACCTACCCCGCATCTTAGGTATATAATGTTATATAGTGATAGCCATATAATGGTGACAGCCATATAAAAATTATGCGAGTAGAATCGATAAAGACAACAAAGCAAATGCATTAGAAATTATGCGGGTAGAATCGATTAAAAAAGGAAAGATAATTGGGAGGAATAGCACACAAAATGGTAGATGCAAAATCTTTGCCCTAAATAATAAAGATGAGAAGCACCAGCTCGTAATGTCCGGCCGAACATATAGACTTATAGCAGAGAGAAGACAAAGAAGAGATGAATAGCTTCCCTATTTCACTTGATCGTTGGTGTTTGTCGCTAGCGGTTATGGCAAAGAAGAGATCAACAACTTTCCTCTACTTGGTTGCAAGTGATCGCTTAGGGCAGAAAAGAGAACGATCATCGGTGTATGTTGCTAATGGTAGGGCAGGGAAAGAATGGACAGCTCTTCTCTATTCAATTGCAAGAGATCTCTAGGGCAGAGAAAAGAACAACCAAGCTCAAATTCACTGGCCATATAAGGGTATTTTCATCTTTTTCCATTATATCAAAATACCACTTAAGGACTTGGGGACTTCATTGGCCTTTTAGAATTACTTGGGACTTAACTGGTATAAAATTGGTCTTTTGAGACTTGATTGTCATTTTTCCATAAAAATTTGAGAAAATTAATCTTTTAATCCTTCAACTTTTAACTCACTTATAACTCAGTCCTTCAACTATGACTTGCTGCGACTCAGTCTCTCAACTTTTGATTCACTTATAATTCAATCCTTATTTTTTAATTTTTTTTAAATTTCTTATCAAATAAGAGGGAATAAAAAATACTTATATATTATCTTAAAAGTACCCTCCTCTTGCTTATTGATGTGAGATATAAGCTAACATGAAAAAAATTAACAAAAGTTCAGGGATTAATTTGTAAGTAATTCAAAAGTTGAGGGATTGAATTATAGGTGAGTTATAGTTGAGGGACTGAGTTACAGTGAGTTATAATTGAGGAACTGAGTTACAAGTGAATTAAAAGATGGAGGACTAAAAAATTAATTTTTTAAAAAAATTTTATCTAATATTACATTTATATTTTAAAAAGACTAAAATACCTACAAAATTAAAAAAAAAATAATCAAACCCCTAGCCACAATAGCCATCACCCTCAGATCTCAAACCACCCACACCCAAATTCTTGAAGATCCATTCATAACACCACAATTTGATCCAATCTCTGAATCAAACTATCAAAGAAAATCCAAGAATAATGTTAAAGCCAAACCTTTAGCCACCCACACCAACAGATTCATATCGGGAAAAAAAAAGGAATCAAAGGAAGACAACAAAGTTCATCCATGGCTCCAGCTGAACAAATCTCTGAATCAAACTATCAAAGAAAATCAAAAAATAATATTAAAGCCAAACCTTTAGCCACCCACACCAACAGATTACATATCGGGGGAAAAAAAGAATTGGAGGAAGACAACAAAGTTCATCCATGGCTGTAACTGAACAAATCGAACAAAAGGAGCCAACAATCAAAGCGTAAATCTGGAGATATAGCGAAGCAGAAATCAAAGAGTAAATTTATTAATGTTTGATCTGGAGATTGGAGAGGACATTGAAGATAGAAATCGTCACACTGATCAAACTCAGGAAGGAGATAATGGAGGTGCCGGCGGAGTTAAGGGATGCCATGGAAAGGCGGAGGAGACGATGGTGGCGACAGACGTTTTAGTTCGTGGCTAAGCATGGCCATAGCCCACCGTCTCGCTCGCTTTGCCGCCGGCTTCAACCTTTGCCGTGAAGCTCCGTTGTGGTGCCGATGGGAGCCATCAAGAAAGGAGGCGGGTCATCGTAAGGAAGACAAGAGAAGGCTAGAGTTTGAAGGGCAATAGTGAAAGTAAGTTTGATGGAACCGAGCTTCATGGGAGGAGTGATGAAACTGAATTTCATCAATTTTAGTGAGAGTGAGTTTCATCTAGAACTAAATTCATGTGTATCAAACATGCATTTTTCTAACTTTTACTTTCACTTTCATTTCTCTAACCTCAATTCCAACCCATCGAACGAGCCATTATATTTTTATTGTTTTAATAACGAGAGCTTGTATTAAAATTTCCTTTCAAGAATTAGGCGGTCTCACGCAAATGGCTCGGAAAGAGTTTTTCGAAAATAAAAATAAAATCGTACTAATATTTTGCCGTGCTCCATTTCCCCTCGCCGATCATTTCGGCATTTTCCAGACGCCATGAGAAGGAGCAGAGAACTTCTTCGCCTCTATATTTCTCTGCGCGATCTCATTACAAAGTCACCATCTTCTTCTACTCGTTCTTTTCCTGGGCTTGTTATTCCCTTCAGTTCCTCTTTCTCCTCAACCCTAAATGGCGAGGACGACAAAAGATCACCCAAGTCTCAAAGGGATTTGTTGCTTCTGGAAAAATTTAGACTTCGAAAACTCAAAGGCTCTTCTACAACTTCAGAGAAGATAATGGAAAAGAATTTGAAAGACGAGGATGAACGCACTGAGGTAGTGACCAATTTTAAGAAGTTGGGTTTGTGTGAGAAGCTTATTGAGGTTTTGGAGAAACTAGGCGTGCTTGTTCCTTCTGAGATTCAATGTGCGGGAATTCCTGCTGTTTTGGAAGGAAAGAGCGTGTTGATGAGTTCACTATCTGGTCATGACAGGACTTTGGCCTACTTGTTACCTCTTATTCAGGTAATCTCTGTTATTTCTTATATTTTAACTTGTTTAAGGAATCTTTCTTTAAATTGGTGACATATTGGATCGGATTTTGGAAGTGAAAGGTTGAATACTTTGGCTTTAAGTGTTGGGATATGCTCTCTTTGAATTTGTTTGATAAAAGAAATTATCTTATATGGTATGGTTCGTAATGTTAGTTCTATTTTCCCAGTGATATGAAATCAAATGGAAAATTACCTAGACGATACAACTATTATTCTTTTCATTTTTTTTATTTGCTCTACTTGAACTTTCCTATGTTCCATTAGTTCTGAGGTTTCAACTTTATGAAGCTTTTAAGGGAAACTAAATCTCCAGAGTTCCTTGTTTTGATCAATTTCGCTCGTTAATTCCATGAGAAATTGCAAAACATTATTTTCTCCTTCATATTTCTGATGTCATTTTGTGCGGTGGTAGGGATGACAATGACATTCATAGAATCTTTGAACTGCATTAGGTGAAAATGGAGGGAATGAATTTGGTAGGTAAGGAGATTAGTGGTAAAAGCTATTTTTATGTTTGGTTTGGGAAGCTAGGAATGCATGAATGACTGGAAATTATGTGAATCATAGCAATTGGGGCTATGTTTGGGAGAGGGAAAATGAAGGGGAAGAAAAGGGAGCGGAAGTTTTTGTCCAAACCGCTCCTTAATTTGGGTGTTTGTTATAACATGTTTGTAACTAACCCTTGAAATTATGCCAAAGCCATCCCTCTTCAATAATTTTGAATCCATACAACAAGTCAACAATAACAATAACAACACGCCTTATCCCATTAAGTGGGTTTAGCTATATGGACTGAATGACACCATTGTGCTTTATCATTAACTAAGTCTTTATGAATATTGTTAACCAATTTTGAATCCATACAATTTGAAGAATTTTGGGGGACAGAGTTTTCTCCGACAAAGGAACAGGAATGTGTTAACTTGTGTTAGCTTTTGAGACGATGCAAATTTTTTTCTTTTTGTTCCCAAACAAAAGATTAGATAAATGTGAATAAAAAGCTATTGTAATGTATTAACTTGTGCAGCTTTTGAGACAAGATAGAAAGTTGTCCCATTCAAATTTGAAGCATCCCCGGGCAGTTGTGCTTTGTGCCACAGAGGAGAATGCTGAACAGGTGATCTTCCCTATTGTCATTGTCTCTGGATTATTGGCCTGATATATATATATTTTTTATTGACTTTTACTCACCCTTGCAAATTATTGTAATGGACACTGCAGTGCTTTAATGCTGCAAAATATATCATCCGTCATGCAGAATTCAAGTCTACAAAGAATGATGCTTCACTAAATAATGAGCAGTCAGACGTTTCAATTGGCCTTGTAATCGGATCTCCTAGTGAGATTCTTCAATACATTGAAGAGGGAACGGTTATTCCTGAAGAAATAAGATATTTGGTTAGTATCAGTGATCTATGTTTAAGTTGCCGTTCAAGATTATAGTATTACAATGACTAGCCTTCACTGAATAATTTATTTAAACTTGTGTTAAAATGGTTTATTGGTCAAGCATGGTGTTTTATCCACACTTAATCCTAAAGGACTTTCTAATGATGATGAATATTATTGAATCAAGGTGCAAAAATGCCTAGAAACTTTTTTCTATGAGTTTTTGGTATCTTTAAGTTAACATATGGGTACCCATTAACTTTATAAAATAGGTCAATCTTCTCCGTTTTGTTAAAATAGCCTGATGTTGATGGTTTTGGGGAAGGTTGACTTTTTTTGTAAAGTTAATGGATACTCATAGGTCATTGTTGACTTGATGATACTGTAAGCTCTTAAAATAAGTTTCTGAATGTTTTTACACTTTAACCCAATATTATTTTGGACAACACCTAACATTTTAGGTTTTTGAGGTGAAGTTGTAATTGACAATGATCTCTAAGATCTCCTAATATTTTGTATTGACCAAAACCTGAAGTTTAAAACCATCTGATGCGGGTGGAAATCAAACAACCTTTAATGTCTACTTATCCACACTCGCAGACAACCGTGATTCTTAAATTTAGCAGTTCCACTCCTGAAGAGGATAAGGCCCAAGTATGCAACAAGTGCTCCAACGACGAATTCATGAGAACACACACGTGTTCATCCTATTTTTGGATTTAAGACTAAATGTTAACACTACCCAGAGCTCCCTGCATTGATCATACTTGTGTGTACACATTTGTTAAGCAGGTAATAGATGATGCAGACATCATGTTTGATAGTGACCTTGGCGGTGAAATTCATAAGATTATCAGACAATTACCAGATTATACTTCAAATTTCGCTACGGGAGGATTGCAAACTGTTCTGGTCACTTCAACATTAACGGAGGTTTGGTGTTGCATGTTATAGTTGTTGGATTCACATGAAGGTATTGGTGCTTAGACTTTTATCAAACAGGTTTTGCTTCTAAGTTTGTCCTATTATTTCATTTATGTTAGGTTTTGGGTGAAGAGTCTCCTGTTATAAAGCACCTGGAAAATAATCATGCTGGACATGTTTCTGCAATGTTGTTAGAAATGGATCTTACAGAAGTCTTTCAACTCACAGAATCCATGGATGCTTTGAGGCAAAAAATGACAGAGGCCATGAATTCCTTTCTCAAATGACAATAAAACCTTGGCATTATATTTCTTTGGCATAGTTAAGAAAAAATGAAGGAAAAAAGAGCTAGTTAGGTGTGTTCTTCCTGTGTATACTGTTTTTATCATGTCATTGAGGATATTTTAGTAGTAATTTACTTCCTCCTGCCTTGTTGGGGAGAGAGAAGAATTTTTGTCTTATTTATAGATAATGTCATTAAATTTCAATTACCAATTTCCTTTTACTTTCTACTAAATATTAGAGAGAGAAATTATTTTTATTAAAATATGCATATTTATTAGGGTACAAAGTTAAAAATTTATTAAATTTTTTGAAAGGGTTATGACTTTTAGAGTTTTTTCTTTCTTGTAAAACATGTTATAAATGACTTATAAATAGTATTACAAAAATAATTTACTAATTTTTAAGAGAGAGAGAACTTTTATTTTTTAAAAAAACAGCTTTACATGGGTCTTTTATCTACTCCTTTGCAGCATTGAGAAGATAAGATGTGTTGCTGTTGTAACAGTTGATTTGGATTATCTCAATTTGATCTTAGTGCAGATTTTATGCAATTTTTTTTTTAAATGAGGTCCCTATAATTTATTTTATTCCAATCAAGCTTTTATAGTTTTATCAATTAGTAATATTAATTCCTAAAGTTATAATTATTAATGAATTTTTAATTTTTTTAAAAACACACTTGAAATTTATAGAAAATTTTAATTAATATTTTCGCCAAAAAAGAAAATGTAATTTAATACAATGTTTATATTTTAATGAAAATTGTACATATACGAAAATTATTTAAGGGACAATTTAATTATATATATTTTGAGTTATAAAAGTTATGTAATTAATTTTAAAGTTATATGATCTTTAAATAAAAATATAAAATGTTTTATTTTATTTTTTTAAAACAAAAAATTCAAGAATTTTAATTTTCAAGATTAACATATCTAATTAATTAAATAATAAAAACTTAATTAAAAGAAGATAAATTATATGAATCTAATTTAAAACTGAGAACCTTTTGAACTTGCAGATTTATATCATCAACCAATCAAGTTCTCTTTAAATCTCGTGGTTTGTAGCTGATGGACAGTTCCCCACTTGTCTCACAAATCTTCTTAAAGGTCCCTCTATGGGCATCTCTCTGCATATACGACTCAACTATAAGCCTCCTCAAGTGTGTTTGTAGTGCCACCTAGAAACCCTACACATACTACACATCCACTAGTTATGAAGTCTTTTAAGAATAGGAATATTCTTAAAGTTCTTCGCTATCTGTAAGTACTGGCACGGAAGAGCAGGGACCACTTTGAGTTCTCGATATTTATCAAATTTATGAGAAACTTTTTATTTTGGGGAATGCAATTTATTGATGATGACAAGTGTTAATTGGATATCAACTACACATTTGATATTACTATTTTTGTCAATCCCCATCCCCTCATGACTTTAGATATGAGTAGACATTAATCTTTTTTTTTGTAACCTTATATTAAAAAAAAAAAAAGAAAACATTACATGATCGCGCCACATCAACGAAGTAACCGAATAAGTGATATCATGAGATTATCCACACAATCTAGAAAGTTAGGGTCATTAGGTTTTAAAGTTCAATGTGATTATTAGTTAAAAATCAAGGGAAGTTTTTTAATTATGTTATGATAACCAATATTGAATCAAATGTTTTACACGTTTAATAAACAAATTTGTTAACTCGCATTTAAGGAAAATTTATAATTCAAGACTATGAAGCATGCACATCACAAATTATTTTAATTTTCAAATAATCATTGTTAAGATTTAAAAGATAAATATTTTAACCATAAAATGTTCTTATCTTACCTTGCAGGTCATCTTTACTGTCCACCTAATTAGTTTTTCTTCCTTCAGCTCGAAAAAAAAAAAATTACTAGAATTAAAATATTAAAAAGGAGTGGCTTTAGAAGTGAAGGGGCTGTTCCTTCCCAACGTGACATGCTTTCTTAATTATTCTTTCAATGTTTACGAAACTATGTTGTTGTGCCTTTTTATGTATTTGTATCAAATCTAATTGGAGTTAAAGGTAATAATACTTCTGATTCGAATTTTGTTCTGCCCAGGCTGTTCTCCACCATGTTCTTGAAAATTTCTTACTAGATGACACTCATATCAGACCTAATAGGAGAGTTAAAGGCAAGAATATAATGGCTATTTTAATTTGAAAGTTCCACTTTTCTTAACAGAAAATTTTTTAATGAGATAATTATTACTGATAGTTTCATTTTTTTTTAATGAACATACAAACGATGGCTTCCCCTAGGATTTTATTATTTTTTTAATGTTTTTAGTTCATTCTTTCTTCTGATACAGTCATTGGTGGAGCCTGGATCTTAGGTTGGGAGTAGTGGTGAAGCCAAGATTCTTGACACAGAGAAAACTTTTCTATCCCTTCTAAATCCATTATTTCTCTTTCATTCTTTTTTTTTTTTTTGTTTCTTAACTTTCAATTGAAAACTTACAAATGCAATGAGCCAACAAAATCTGATGAGGGGCTCTTTTCTTTTTCATAAAACTTGAGCGGTAATATTCATATTTAAATAGAGAATAGAGATATTGTTGATATTTGTAATAAAATAGAAATAATAGAATTTCATTAAAAAATGAAATTCTGAATTCTAATAAATTATCGTTATTATTCTAATGAATCCAAATATAACAATTCTAGTTAGAAAGTAGAACATTTTTTATTATTTTATTAGAATGACTAATGATAAGCCATCCCCTTTAATTGCCAGATATTCATATATCCTTTGTGTATCTTGGTATTTCTAACCACCCACTTATTTTTTTTTAGCAATTTCCCCTTATGGTAATACACCTATGCCATGCAAACAATAATGAAAACTCAATAAGGTTGGTCTTTTGAGCTCACTTCAAACCAAAATGACTAATTAACCAAATTTGGGGTATATTGGTGGAAAAAATTAGGAAGTACTTTCCACAATTATGATTCAGAATATGCTCCTATCCACTAATTAAATAAATAACTATCAAAAGCAAAATAGTCCCTTAATTTTTTTAAGTTCCTTTTTGTTTTGCACATAAAAAAATAAGAAGAATAGAAATGAACAATACAAAAGAATATAATACAATTAAAAAACAAGAGGGATCCCTTTGAATTCTTTCTCATATTCATATTTATGAAAATACAATTTATGTCATAATTTATAAACTAGTATCTAATTTTTTCCAATTATTCAATCCTCTTCCTTCTTGTTGTTGTTGAATATCTCATTCATACACATCTTCGTGTTGTTTCTCAAGCTTATAGTGAGTTACAAGTAGAGTTTGAAAAGGTCAAATATCTAATGATTTCATCATATATAATTGAGTTGCGAAAACTTTTGGATAAATATCCTACATTTGAACTGAATTCTTTCTCTTTGCTTCTCATTTTTTGAAGGAAAGAGAGAATTTGTATAAAATCGATGAAAGACAGGAAAAAGATATCTTTCAATTGGAAAAACCTTTTCTAAGGATTCTTTTTTATTATAAACAATTCCATTTGGAACAGCACATGTCGTGTTAAATTTTTATTTTCTATTCAATCTATTTAATGATTATTTAATGAAAAATTGTAAAAAAAATGCTAGTATGAAATTTTTTTAAAAACTCCCAATATTTCACTATGAGAGGGCGGGGTATTAGCAGTCATTTTCAGCCGTTGTTCCCCTCCCAAGGGCAGGTTCTTATGCATTACTCACTTGTCCGCCACTAGAAACGCTACTTCTTGTGCGATTTTCATGTATTAAGCATGTTGCTAGCGTTCATCTTGAGCCAAGATCAAACTCTACTTGAGATTCATAGTTGCGTTATTTATAGCTCCTTATTCATAGACAAAGCTGACTTGAAATTCTCTTGAATAATCGACATTACTTCTACTTCTATTATAACAAAAGATTCCCTTTTTATGTGGAAAAGGCTAGTATCAATAATTATAATTTTATGTATGGACAATTCCACAATATCTTGTTCATTCGCAACTTTTGATTGGTCAAGCTATTTGGAATCTAATGGATGAAGACATGGTTTCAGGGAATCCCATGGAATTTTCATTCAAAAGTGGAAGCTTATTGAACATGGTTGCTCATTTTGATGACTTATCATATGATTCTATTTTATCATTCAAATTTCTACTCTACCTTCCCACCATACAATCACTAGCACACACTTGTTGTGATTCTTAATACAACAACAACAACAACAACAACAAGCCTTTATCCCACTAGGTGGGGTCGGCTACATGGATTGCAAGACGCCATTGTGCTCTATCATTTATCAAACTTTTAGAAATATTATTAATTAAGAGATCACGTTCAACAACTTCCAAGAGTGTTCTCTTAGGCCTTCCTCTACCTCTCTTAATCGAACTCAAAGTTATATATTCCACTCTTCTCACTGGTGCCTCCCTTGGTCTTCTTTGTACATGCCCAAACTATCTCAACCGATTTTCTACTATTTTTTCCTCAATAGGTGCCACCCTCACTTTTTCGCGTATGTGCTCATTTCGAATTTTATCTTTACGTGTATGTCCGCACATCCATCGTAACATTCTCATCTCTGCTACTCCAACTTTATGCTCTTGCTGTCCCGTTAGAGCCCAGCATTCACTACTATATAACATTGCCGGTCTGATAGCAGTGCGATAAAACTTTCCTTTAAGTTTATTAGGCACCTTACGGTCACAAATAACTCCTTTAGCTTTTCTCCAATTAAACCACCCAGCTTGAATTCTATGTGAAATATCTCCACTGATTTCGCCATCATTTTGAATAATGGCTCCCAAATATCTAAAATTTTCCACTTGAGGTATAATTTGATCTCCCAATTTCACTTCCAAATTATTTTTGAATAGTCCTTTACCAAATTTACAATATAAATATTCCGTCTTACTTCTACTCAGACGAAAATCTTTCGACTCCAATGTCCTCCTCCATAACTCAAGTTTGCAATTAACCTCTTCTCTTGTCTCTGCTATAAGAACTATATCATCCGCGAAGAGCATACATTTCGGGATTTCCTCTCGAATATGTTCTGTCAAAACATTTAAAATCAAGTTGAACAAATAAGGACTTAGAGATGATCCCTGATGTAGTCCAATCTTTATAGGAAAATCCTTTGTTTGACCACTAGGCATTCTTATACTAGTTTTTACCCCCTCATACATATCTTGTATGGCTTTA